AAGCTTTTTCCGCGGTCCCCGAAGCCCCCTGGGGCCCTCCACGGGCCCCACCCAGGCCTCCGGCTGCTCCAGTCTTTTGGATGCGTGGGCCCCGGAGGTCCCGACCGCCTCCCTATCTTGCCGTCGCTCGGACGTACATTCCCCGTGCATTTTTCGACTTCGTGTGTGTTTTTTTGCTCGATGGTCCAGGATGCTCCTCGATGGCCCTCGCCGGGAAAAAATGCACGCGCCCGAGCGATGCCAAGCTATAGGGCCAGTTTCTCCTCCCGAGTCGTTTCTGCTTCACGCTCCCGAGGCCCGGCGAGGGCCCCTGGAGGTGCTGCTCCAATGTTTCGGAAGCGTCGGATCTCTGGGCAGGGCCTGCCGGAAAGAAAGCGACCCGGGCTGGAGAACGGGCCCTGGGGAACAGGGCCCCTCGTGGCGACGTGAGCAGGATCTGTGGGCGGCAGCCGGAAACCCAACACGCGACGCCAGCTCTTCACAGCGCATGTGTTATGTCGGGCGTGTCCCCCATACAGGTGGATTTTCGACAAACAAAAACCTTAAAAATACCCCAAAAAGGTCAAACCATATTCAAAAAATAGTCCACAGACTGTTTTTGGATTATTTTTGGACTATTTGGTTTTTTTTGTCTTGTTTCATTTTTCGTCGATAATCCCCCTGTAGGGGGACAGGCCCGACTGAACGCGAGTGAAAGGGGAGAAAGAGGAGGAGCAAGGAGCGGACCCCTCTTCAGTGCAGGCACTGCTTGAGGAAACCGAGCGCTTCCGGCGCACTGTGTCAACACGGCTCGGCGCCCCTGAGAGCCCCGCCTCGGCCACGAGAAGAACGCGAGGCTCCAAAGAAACTTCTGGCGGCGTGCTTCTCCTCCTCCTCCTCCTCCTCCCCCTCCTCCTCCTCCTCCTCCTCCTCCTCCTCCTGCTGCTCCTCCTGCTGCTCCTCCTCCTCCTCCTCCTCCTCCCTCCCTCCCTCCCTCCCTCCCTGCCTCCCTCCCTCCCTCCTCCCTCCCTCCCTCCTCCCTCCCTCCCTCCCTCCCTCCTCCCTCCTCCCTCCTCCTGGAGCTGTCGACCCCATCCCCGGCGCTGGCTCTCCGCCGCGGGCCGCTCCTGCGCGCCCCGGGGGTCCGCAAGCGGCCCTCTCCAGAGCACAGGAGCCGCGGAGGAGCGCGCTGCCGTCGCTTGGGACGCACGGAGACATAAAAGTGCTATATATAGTCGAAAGTGAGCCTGGTAGCTCAAATATGGCATATAGCCTGGCAAATTGCATCCATCGCTCTGCTGTGAAGGTACAGTATGAGGGGTGGATGAAAAAGATAGGATAAGATCGATGTAATGATCTTTCCAGCACATAGCGAACACTCGCGGTGTCAGGGAAAATAGGGCGCGCGTGCCTTGGGCCAAAGGCAACGGCGCGCGAGCTATGCTCCCGACACTGTAACATCTCCCAAAGAGCTACCCTTAAAGTCGGGAGGGGAGGAGACGGAGAGCATAGTCGCACGCAAAGATCGCGCGCACGACTGTTTGCAAAGAAAAGAAAACAGTGCGTACAGTCTGGTCAAACACCAGACTGTAAGGCGAGTTTCCTCGCAAAGTATTTCACGCAAATACAGGACAGCCCCTTCAAACAATGAAGGGCTATCGGCTCAGTTAGAGGTAAGCCAAAATTAGGCCATACCTCACCAAGCAAATGTGTATTAAGGCAAAGAGCCTGAGTTGTACGAAGCCGGCTCGTTGCCAGGCGTGAAATATAAGGCTCGTTTCCGAGCAGCTAAAGGGGCGCCTTTATAGTAGGCGCCCGTGCTGGCAAACTGGACCGCGAGGGCAACAAGGACAGACTAAAATTGATTAGACTTAGGTTTGTCTCTGTCCTCGGGACCCCGAAAGGGAACAAATTGCTTCACGTCATACTTAAATGACTGAGTGCCTGACATCACTTCCAGAAGCAGCTCCCGATCGATGCTTCCCTTTGTATGCCCATCTGCGGTCATATCCCTAGTATCACACCATTGCACGTTATGTACTATACCTATATCCATGAGCTCACGTATCCAGCTGATATGTCCAAGCAGAGTCCGTTCTGTAGGTATTTTGAGATCCCTGCTTGATAAAGATTTGTAGACGGACTCGGCGTCTATGGTAAGAGAGACTTTAATAGCAAGGCCTCCAACTTCACGCATGTCTCGTAGTTGTCGTGGAGTCAAAGCCCCTGCCTTAAGCTCGTGGAGAGCAATGAGCGTAGGGTAACACTCATCAAGGTTATGTGCGGCTGCAAGTGCCTCCGCAGCATAACTGGACCTCACCTGTAATCGGTGTGATTTGCATAGTCCGTCACAGAGGTGAACGACGGACTTGCCTTGGGGCGAGCTTCCTCGCCGTAGTACGTTGGCCCCGCGTATGCCGTAGCCCTTGGTCTCGTCATCCTCCTCCCCGGTAAGCTTCCGATACCCCGAATCGCTATGGATGTCAACTTCATTCGTCGGCTTCATCCGAGGGAAGGTGAT